AATTAATAACAATTTGTGCTCAGTTGTTGACCTATATAGCTATTTGCTGATGGTTTAAAATTTTGGAATGATGCAATAATAAAAAATTAAATTTCATTTCCCTGATAGATATCAATTTTATCATAAATGTAATCCAAAAAAGATTATTGAAATATCTTATTTATATTTTACAAACCCATACAACTTCCTCCCAAAAACATTATCACGTGAATATAAAATCAACCAATTTTATTTTTGAAAGATTATTTAAGATCAAATGGCGCTATTAGGTCGATGTGATTAAATATACTTTAATGTTTAAAAACAAATTAATTATTACTCAATGATCTTGCTGAAAAACCTCCATCTTCCGGAAATCTCCTTTTATTTTTATATATATAATCCTTTTTTTTTTTTACTTTTATCTTAAACATTATTTTCATGTAGTTATGGATAATATTGTTAATTAGTATTGATTTAATTAATAACTATTTGTGTTCAGTTGTTGATAATCTGCTGTTGTGTTAATATTTCGTGGAAAAAGGGAATTTTCAACAATATATGCATTTTTTTATGCATTTATCATTATTTTTTAACTTTTATCAAAAACGACATTCTTGAACATGTAGTTATGGATACTATAATACATTAATTACTAATTTTTTTTAAAATTAAAAACTACTTTAAATTAATTTTGCCCGGAGATGTAACAGTAAGAAATAGATATTATCGACCATCATAAAGACTTAAAAAAATAAATTGACAAAGATTATTGTTTAATTGAAAAAATTGACACGCATGTCTTAGTTTTTTTTTTTTTTTTTATTTATGAATCAAACCCCAAACTCAAACAAAAACATTGTTTTCAATCGTTAATAGTCTACCGATTGAATAGACAATAAGAAATGCCTGAATGGTACCGAAAAAAAGTGGATAAATTTTTTTATCGGCTGAAAAATGTATGGAAATCCGATCCCATATGTAAACGAACACACGCACACACAAACAAACAAACAAAACAACCCGTGTTTTTTAATAAGAAAGTTAATAACTATGATATGAGTTGTCCCTTTTCCTTTTGCGATGCCTGTTAATCAGGTTTTTTGAAAATTGATTTCGTGCAAAAACAATTGTGTTTTCCAATTTTTGCCGCTGTCAGAACCACCAAAAGGTAAAACACCAAAAAAAAAAAAAAAAATAAACAAAAAAGTGTTTTTTTTTTTTTCCAATATATAAACGTACAGACACAAACACACACATTATTTTTTTTTTATAATAATAAATGATATTATTTTATGTTCATGTTGTTGATCTATATAGCTATTTTTGCTGCTGGGTTTACAATTTTGGAATGATGTAATAATAAAAATAAATAATTTCAATCTCTTCTCAAATATGTTTAAATGATCTGTAAATATAAACTGAACCCGTAGATGGCTTCCTCAAAATCTTATTTTCGTTTCATTAATAAACACAGAGCTGACGACCATAGACTTTTAAAAAAATAATAAAGAACTAAAAATATAAAAATCCAAAAAAATAAAAAATAAATTATTTTACTACATATCGCTTTTTTTCACCTTTTTTTTTGACGAGGGTGACATCTGTAAACTCCCCTCACATTTTCACTTTGACACATACATGAATTAATGTCACCGTCCTATTTATACATATACACACACACAAAAGCTCTATTTCCAATTTTTAATCTAACAAGTGAGTTCCCATTCACGTTGGGTTCGTTTTATTCATTTACGCGTAAAAAAGTAGGAAATCACCCCATCTATGGGTTAAAAATGTAAGAACTTTTCCTCTAATCATAAATCATTTATCATTTAAAAATTTAAAATCTAAAAAAAATTATTCTTTAAATCAATATAACAATTTAAATAAAAGAATGAATCATTTATTCATAAATGAAAAGGCTCGACGTTGCTTAACTTTATGTAATCGTGCAGGAATTTTGAAATGATTGATAAGCCGTAGAAAAAAAAATCAATTAAATACTAATTATTTTCATATTTTTTTTGTTTTTTTTCTTTTTAGATTTGTCTGGAATATAAATGAATAGAAATAACGTGGTCAAAAAAGTGAGTAATCAGTTTATATAAATGATTGTAATATAAAATTGTTTTTTTTATTTATATTCACATTAAAATTTTTGTTTTGTTTGTCAAACAAATAATTAATTAGGAAACCGCCATGTTTTTTACGAATTTATTTTGCATTTTCTGAAATAGAATCAAATAAAAAAAAATGCCACAAACTGAAATTTTTTTTTAAAATAATTGTTTTTTATAGAATTGATTATTTATGTTATATCCACATTATTATTTCTTTGTTTATTATCAAATTCTGATAATGTATGTTCTAAATCTTCCCAGATATGTAATAATTAGTTAGACTTTATTCTTTTTAAAAAATATATATATATATATTTTATATATATATATTATCATATAATAAAAGTATATATATATATAATATATATAAATATATAATTTTTATATATTTTTTATTTATATTTATATATATATATATATATATATATATATATATATATATATATATATATATATATGTACATATATATAAATATATTTATATATATTTTTTTTTTTTTTTTTTTGATATAGATTTGTCATTCTCTTTAATTTTCAATAATGTTTCGGCGAAAAATGAAAAATTTGAAAAATTTTAAATAAAAAATGATAATTATTTTGTTGTTTTTTTAGTTTGTTTCAATAATTCTATGGGTAAATAATAAATTGACATTAAATTTTTATATCCACATTAAAAAAATTTTTTTTTTTACAGATTAAAAACACAGGCTTTTTTTTTTTATTTATTTTTCTTTTGAAATATAAAAATATATTTTTTAAATGGTCAAAATATTTTTCATGTTTATATTGATTGTATTATTAAATTGATCCCCATTTTTTTATTATATATATTTTTTTTTATTTTTTATCAAAAATTTATTTATTTTATTCAATGATGTTCTTTTAAATAAATTTTTTTTTTTTTTGAAATATAAATTGTATAAAATTACCGTGGTTTAAAAATGAGGGATCATTTTAAAATGTTTTAATTTTAATTGATCCCCATTTTATATTTTGTTTCTTTTATAATTTTTTTTTTTGTTTATCGAATAGAATGATTCTTGATTCCATTTCCTATTCCTATATAATTAGTAAGGGTTAAATTAATTTTTTTAAAATAAATTTTATCATCAGAATAAAAACATTATTACCATTTTTTTCCTGAATTTTTCTAAAAAATTTTTTTAAACTTTAAATCGAATATAAATTTTCAATCAAAAAATTTGTTCATTTGATCTTAGCTATGGATTATTGCTATTACAAAATTTTTTAAATCAAGAAAACATTGTTTAATTGAGCCAGACTTTTTTTTTTTCTTTACTTTTTTAAAAACTTTTTCATTCAACTTTTTCTTTAATTTTCTGCAATTTATTAAAGATTTTTAACAATGTCCTGGTTCTGACGATAAACAAATCCGGCAACAAGGTTTCACCACTTTTAAATTTTAAATTTTTGTAAAATTAAACATTTTTTTTTTTTTTCTATATTTTTATATCTTTTTTTTTTGAATTTATTTTTGAACATCCGATCTGGGTTTAAACATAAAAATATATAAAAATTCATATTTATATTTGGAAATTTATATATTTTATAATACAGTTTTTAATTTTTTTTTTTTTTTTTATTTAAATATATTTTAATATATATATAATTATTCATTTTTTATTATATTAAAATTTTTAAAAAATTTTTTTTATTATATATATTTTATATATATATATATATATATATATATATATATATATATATTATATATATTATTTTTAAAATTTATATATTTCAAATTAACATTCTAAACTTGTTGGAAAATTCATATTTAAGTTGATTTTTTAATCTAACATTTTTTATTTATTTGGATTAATTCTAAGATCATTATAAAAGATAATTAATGATTAAATCAATTTAAAAAATAACTATATATATATATGTATGGAAGAAAATATTAAAATATGTTTAAATTTTGAAAATAATTTTAAAATTTATATATATATATATATATATATATATATATATATATATATATAAGTAAATATATATATTTATGTTTATATATATATATATTTTATCATTAAAGTTTGGTTGGATATATATATATATTTGGAAAATTTATCCAACCAAATATTGAAGCTCTATCTCTGATATTTAAGCGCTTTGATTTTTGTATTATATATATAATATATAAATAATTATAAGTATATATATTTATTTATATTTATATAATTTTCAATATATATATATATATATATATATATATATATATATATATATTTATATATATATTAGGTTGGTGCAAAAAATAATGTCGTTTTTTTTGTTCAACTTCAAAAAGATCATAACTCCTTTCATAATAAACTTTTTAATCGAAATGAGAACCATTAGAATCTGAAAAAATTTTTTTTGCCAAAATGAAAAAGTTTATTTATTTTGATTTTTTAGCAATAGAAATAAATTTCTGGAAGCGATGAAATTCATTGAAGGCCGATTCTGCAAATCATCTCCGCAAAGATTTTTAATCCATTTCGCGCAGGAAGTTGTTTGCTTGAAAATTTATTGAAAATCTGTTTTCGAAAAGGTCCGGTGAATATGGCGGATGAGGCAGATTCTCGTAAAAGAATTGTTCAGCTTTTGATTTCATTTTTTAGTTTAACATGCAGGGGCGAGCGTTGTCATGGAGGAGAATTGGTCCTCAAAATTGATGAATTTTTACATTTATAAAACATATGTTGGAGCTTCTGGTTATTTTCGTCAATTTGTCGGCAGTACTTCTCCGCCGTAATCTTTAATATTTTAATTCAAAAATTGGTGGATGAGATTAAAAAAGTGTAGACCATTAAACAGTCACCAGTATAACCTTTTTTGAATTTTAATTTCGGCTTATTTTTATTTTTCTTGTTTGGATAAATATCCGGCATCCAAAACATGTATTGTGCCGAACGTCGCCGGTTGTCGTAAATTTGATCCAAATCAAAACACGTCACAATTTTAAACTTTTAAAATTTTTTTAAATTTCAAAATAAAATTTGAAAAAATGAAAAAATACGACAATTTTTTGATTATCGTTCAATTCATGCGGCAAACAATTTATCCATAAAAAAATTGGAAATTTTTTTAAATTTTAAGAACGACTGTTTGGAAATCGACCTTTAAAATGCAGCAAATTCTATATTTTTGATTTGCGAGGATCGGCTTCAATATTATTTCAAATGTTCGTTATCGAATAATTTTCGGCCGGCCTTTACCGTCTTCATCTTCGAGGCAATATCCATTGCGAAATTATTGAATCAATTTTGTGCCACACGTTATTAGTATTCCCTTTATAAACAACATATTGATATATGTAATGAAAAATCTCGGCAAAATTTTTAAAATTATAGTTTAACTGAACAAGAAATTTTTTGCCTTGTGTTTAAAAAAAAAAAAAAAACCTTTTTAATTGAGAATTGTAAATTTATTGAATTTGAATTCAAATTCGATAAAAATAAAACGTATTTCAAAAATGATATATAAAATTTTATATATCAATGAATAATTCAAAAAATCATATATAAAATGTAAAATATGTTTTAAAAAACGACATTTATTTATAATATATATATAAATAAAAAAAAAGAACAGTATGATATATAATCCATGTTCTTATAAATATTTTTTTTTTTTTAAAAATAAATTCAATGTAAATTTAAAATTTCATTTTTAAAATAAAAAATTGAAATAAAAAAAATGAAAATTTTTTTTTCCTATTAAAATTTAAATTTTTTTGAAACATTAGTTTGAACTGTCTCTAATTAAAATTTTTTTAATGTTAATATATATTTATATATATATATATATATATATATATATATATAAATATATTTATTATAAAACGCAATTAATGTGTGTGTGTGTGTGTGTGTGTGTGTGTGTGTGTGTCTGTAACGTTTATATGTTGGATCGAATTTCCTACATTTTTTTAGCCGATTTCAACAAAAACTTCACAGGACTACATAAAATTACCTTGTGGTGGTTCTAACGGGGTCGAAAATGGGAAAAATACAGTTGTTTTTTAATAAAATCAATTTGAAAAACACGATTAAGACACATCGTGAGAATGAAAGGGGGACAACTCACCCACGAAAATGTAAACAAAAGAGCATAGCATGATGAAAAAAACGCCGAACTTGACGAAAAAAAAATTTTATCGTCTAATGTTCATATTATTATTAAAGAGGAAAGATCAAAGTATTTTTTGGGGTATTTTTTACATTTTTAATCGTTCCTAGCACGTCTGAAATTTTCGTTAAAAATATTGTTTTTTTTTTTTTGGTCAAAAAAAATGATAATCAATCATTTTCAATCATTTTTTTCGATTTGATAAAAAAGATTAAAATCTTACTTTGATATTCTTTTTTAAAAATCAATTATCATTTTTTCAAAACTGATTTTAATAAAAACAGAAATTATACTGTTTATTTAAAATATTTTGAACCAATCTTAACTTAGCTTCTGCGCCGAAAAAAATGTAATTTGAAAATAAAACAAAGCAGGTCATAACCTTTCGCGTCGCTTGACGATTGACGAAAGGCACATTCATGACGTTTAGATAACTTACGGGAGGAGAATTTTTCTACGGATGGAAGGAAGTGAAATTATTTAAGTGAACAAATTATTTACCTTGTTACTTTTAAGGAAAACTTTCAGCGCTCTAATTTTTTTTTTTTTTTTTTTTTTTTTTTTGTACTTAGCTTTCATTTTTACGTTTACGATGCTTTATGGAAAATATAAAGAAATTAAAAAATAAGACTGTTAATAGTGAGATTAAATTTCATAAGAAAAAGGTATCTAATTAATTTAGGTACCTTTCTTTCTTGAAATTTTATCAGAAGTGTACATAAAATACTATAATTTTATGTACATTTATTACATTTTACTGTGTTATTTGTATTTCCATTCATTTTATTATTAATTTTGATATTTCATTTATGGAAAAATGTCATAACTGAGATTAATATAAAAATAAGATCATATAAATTAAAGTTTAGCAGTAGTTAAATTTCATAAGATGATACTGTTACTTGTAGGTACCCTTCTCAGTTGAAATTGAAAACTCAAATTAACTTCTCCATACGTGTTTCGCAAAAAAGTAAAGGGCTTAACAGCGGAGAACAATGCTGAACTCAAATAATGCAACTAAATTGTATTCTGGTTGGTCTTCCGTACTTGATAATTACTGTCCGACTATAAACACAAAAAATTACATTTCTTAATTACCATGGCTAATCTGATTGGTCCAAATTATACAATTTTCAAAGCGCTAGACAATGACAATCTCACACGGACATTTTGAAAGGTTGATGTTGCTTTTAACTAATGTTAAAATATTTTTTAAATTCAATTTAAACATTTTTTAAAAATCTTTTTAAAATTAAAGAAATAAGAAATAATTGTATTAAAAATTCAATTTTCATTGAAAAAAAAAAATTTTTTGCTTTCAGAAAATATTGTCCATATTCATAAAAACAAATTAAAACAAATAAAAGCATTTGAAACTAAATAATATATTTGTTTTATTGAGTTTTGTATGTTACAATTCACAGCTGATTTTCAGGTACGTTGGCCAAAAAAAAAAAAAAAAAAAAATGATTTGCATTCTTCAAAGCCTTGTGCTTTTAACTATTGTAATCACTAAAACCGATGGTCTCGAATTTCTAGAGTTTTTCATAAAATTAGTTATGGGGGTGTTAATAAATATAAAAAAAATATTTCTGCCATGACTTTAATAAAAAAAAAAACATATTTATAATAATTTCGATCATCTGTGAATAGTTTCTGAAAGTTTCATTAACATCTGACAATTATTTTTATTTTTTTGCAAGATTTTCCAAATTAATGTGTGTAAATACAAAAAAAAAAACGCTAAAAATTATCTATGTTATTTACTACCCCTTGTTGCGACAAAGAGAAACAAGGTTTTTTAAATCAAAATTTAGAATATTCTAAAAAGATGGAAAAATTTTTTAAAAAATAATTAAAAAAAATTTAGTCTATCCTCTTCATAAAAACATAAGCATTTTGACGATAAAATTTTGTTTTCATAAACTTTGGCGTCTTTTTTCATCAGACTATGCTCTATGTTTTAGCGATTCCGTGGAGTGACTTAGGTTAAAAAAAAAATTCAGGTTGTTTGTGTGTGTGTGTGTGTGTGTGTGTGTGTGTGTGTGTGTGTGTGTGTGTGTGTGTGTGTGTGTGTTCCTTTATATATGGGATCGGATTTCTTACATTTTTCAGCCGATAAAACAAACATCCACTTTTTTTTTTAAGCAGGTAGTATTTCTTATTGTCTTGCACACTTTTTTTTTTATTTACATTCAGAATGCTTTAAAAATTCCATTTACAAGACAATTGTTTATAATAAAATTCTATTCACCAATCGATAGACTCATAACGATTGTAAACAATGTTTTTGTTTGAATTTGGGTTTGACCAATTCGTAAAAAAAAAAAAAAAAAAAAACTAATAATTAAGACATGCGTGTCCGTCAACCTTAAACAATAATCTTTGTCAATTTTATTTTTCAGTCTTTATGATGGTCGATACTTGATATATCTCTTTACTGTTACATCCCCGGGCAACGCCGGGCTCTACTGTTAGTATATATATATATATATATATATATATATATATATATATATATATATATAAATATATATATATTAATTCTCATGGATTTATCCAGGTTTTTTTCAATGTCCAGGACAGGATCAGAATATAATTAAAAGGTTCAAACACTAATATTCCAGGGTTATAATTTATTACATTGGAATCGTAATCACAATCGAAAATCAGACTTACAAGTTATATATATATATATATATATATATATATATATATATATATATATTCAAATATATATATATATTTGAATATATATATTTTTTTGAATATATATTCAATATATATATATAATTTTTTAATTTAATTATATAATTAAATTGAAGTTTTTAGCGTCAATTTTTGAAACATGATTTTGAATGTATACCGAAAAAAATATTTTAAATCAGTTAATTTACAATATATATATATATATATATTTATATATATATATATATATATATATATATAAATATATATATATATATTTAATGGACAAGGTCCGACAGTTTATTTATTAAAATTTATTTTTTATGTTTAACGTTGTTATTTTATAGATACAAGTATTTAAAAAATGCTCTGTTTATGATAAACAGTATTAAATAACATTTACCGGCCTGAATGTCGAAAATTTTCATAGAAAATTTTCGTTCTTTATGACAAGCGTTCAGATTTAAATCCTATACGGAACCGTCATATAAGCTGACGTGTCTTACCGCTTAGGCTTTCAAAAAGAAGCGTTCGGTTCTTTTAAGGTCGAATTAAAAATCAAGATTAAATTCGAGAAAGTTCTACCGAACGCTTCTTTGAGGGCAGGTTGAATTTCCCCAAAGAATTCTATTTTTCTATTAAAATATTTTCTGATTCATTCTTATTTAAATGTTTTTAATTTGTTCATAAACAGAGCATTTGGATTAAATATATGTATCTATAAAATAACAACGTTAAAAAACTGTACTAAAAATGTCTTTAAAAATATATATATATATATATATATATATATATATATATATATATATATATATATATATATATATAACCTGAGTGTTTTTTTTCCATTTTAATTGTGATTTTGTTTCTAAGTCTTGAAGATTAAAAGCTGCTTCCTTTTTTTTTAAAGATTTCATGAGATAAAAATTATTACCAATAGGATTTTAAGTGTTTGATATTCTTTAATTCATAATAATTTTGCGCTGTTTTTGACATATATATATATATATATATATATATATAGTGATTATATATATATATATATAATGATGCATACATATTCATAAAGTATATATAAAAATATGTGTGCTTGTGTACATTAGATAAGGAAGATGGCGAAACTGAGGCAGACAACCCCCCCCCGCAAAAAAAAAACAAAAAAACAGAGCGTTCTTTAATTTATACACGCTTTAGTTGACAAGGAAATGCTGTTTGAAGAGTTTATTCCTTTTCTGCGTTGAAAAGTTTCGCTATAAACTTTTAATAAATGCAAAAAAAAAATATGAAGGAATGAGAAAGTCCAAAGAAAGAAAGAGTAGAAAAGAAAAATGGCGGAATGAAAAACGAGTGAAAACTGAACGAACCGTTTCAATTTGAGAACATAAATAGAATATGATGAGGGCAAAAATAAATAAATAAAATAAATAAATAAATAATAAGCTGCTTTACAAAAATTTAGAAACAAAATGGAGTAACAGAATTTGGTTTTGAGATATAAATAAACATGGAAACGAATCGTTGTCATGTTCATTGAGTGACGAAATTTTGTTGTTGGCAATAATAATATCCAGTCAGCCAGAGAGAGAGAGAGAGAGAGAGAGAGAGAGAGAGAGAGAGAGAGGAAGAGAGGGTGGAGATAATAAACAGAATGGATTTATAAAACATAATGGTTCTTTTTTTCTTTATTTCTTTCTTTTCTTTTTCTTTCTTTTCTTTCTTTTAAAACTTTCTTTTCTACTTGACTTACTTATGAAATCATTGTATCTCAATTTTTTCTACATCTTTCTATTTTATCTATCTATCTATCTATCTATCTCATCAGATTTTTTTCTATCTATCTATCTATCTATCTATCTATCTATCTATCTAAATCATCATCATTTTTGTTTATCCATTCCCTATTCTTTTCATTCTATCTATTCTATCTATCTATCTATCTATCTATCTATCTATCTATCGATCTTTTATCTATTAAAATTATTTATCTATCTAAATCTATCGTCTATCAAAAGTATCTGTCTATCTTTCTACTAAACTTTCTATCTATCTATCATCTATTATCTATCTATCTATCATTATTATCTATCTATCTATCTGAATCACATCACCCTATTCTTTTTATCTATCTATCTATCTATCTATCTATCTATCTATCTATCTATCTATCTATCTATCTAAAAATCACATCATCCTATTCTTTTCTTTTTGTTATCTATCTATCATCTAATCTATCTATCTATGTCTATCTAAATCTGAAATCTATCATCTATTTCTATCTATCTATCTATTATCTATCGTTATAAACTATATCTATCTATATATATCATCTATCTATCTATCTATCTATCTATCTATCTATCTATCTATCTATCTAAGCTGTTAAATCTTTCATCTATTTCTATCTCACATCTAATAATGTTTCTCAGTTATGGAAATCTATATTAGCGTTATAATCATTGACGAGATGAAAATGAATAAAAATGACCGACCAGCTCGTCTTTCCAGCTGTTCCCAGCAAAATGGACAAAACCAAAAATGAACAATGAATAACGAAAAACAAAAGAACCCGGCTTTCTTAAAGGTTGCTAACAGAAACATCTGGAAAGGATGAAAAAGTTTTGGATCACCCTCCTCCCAAGCCTTTGACTTTAGATAAACCACTTTCATGATCTCTGGTTGCGAAAATTATGTTGATAATAATAATCATACTGTTATGGATTCCAGACTAAAAATAAAAGTTATTTCAGTTTAAAATTCAAAACACATCAATAATAATGAAACACAAATGAGTAGGAAAGCTGACGAAGGAGTGGGGACATTTTCTATTTCTTTTATTATTATTCATCTAGTACAAGGCCTAAGTGCCACTCAAGCTAGACGGGCGCGAAAATATAAAGAAAGAGTTGAATGTAAAATATATTTGCCCAAGGCAACTGGGTAAATGATGGAAGTTGCGAGGAGAGAAAGAGGATCACATGCAAGACGATCGTGTGTTCGAAAAAAGTCATATCTATCTATCTATCTATCTATCTATCTATCTATCTATCTATCAGTGATCTATCTATCTGTCCGTTCATATTAATTCTTTTTTCATATCTATCTATCTATCTATCTATCTAAATTTATTATCTTTCTATCTATCTATCTCATTTTTTATCTATCATCTTCTATCTATATTGTTATCTATCTATCTATCTATCTATCTATCTATCTATCTATCTATCTATCTATCTATCTTTCTATCTATATATATCTATCTATCTATCTATATCTCATATTGTTATTATCTATCTATCTATCTATCTATCTATCTATCTCATATTGTTAATTATCTATCTATCTATCTATCTATCTATCTATCTATCTATCTATCTATCTATCTATCTATCTATCTCAGATTGTTAATTATCTTCTATCTATCACTGAATGTACATGAGGCATCTCTCTGTCTGTCCGTTCATATTATGGATCTGTTTCTCTACCTCTCCTATGTGTATTTAGGTAGAAAGAAACAATCCAAACACATTTTATTAAAATCCATCGTAATGGTCGTCCTTAGAATTGTTTTATTAGGCTTTTCAGTTCGCACATCTCGATCAAATTCATGAATATTCACTTCATAATCGAATACTTTCGCCCAACTTCTGTCTTCATCAATAGCAATAATGTGATCATTGCCATAAAGAAACGTTTTTATTAACTTCACTTTGGCATTTTTAGGAACCATATTACTCAAAGTTAAATCTGCAATGTATGAATACGCGTGACGCCATGTTTAGCATGGTTAAGAACAATATGTCAGCTTATCATTGATTAATGGCAGTTTTCGCTGGTGGCAGATTGCGAACCAGCCAGCTAAATTCCTTTCACTTTTTATGATCTTCAACAAGCTGTTTTAGTGTCTGTCACACATTAGTTAGTGACCATAAAACTATGTTTTCCCTCCACTTGTTTAAGTTTATAAATTTCTTCTTTTTTTTTTTTTAAATAGAAATTGTCTTTTTGTGGTCACAAAATTTGACAGCGCCTCAGGACGAAGCTATTAAATTGTTTAAATTTTTAAACGCATTTTAAAATACTGTCTCCTGTTTAATGTCTATTCAAGTATATTGAATCTTTCTTCACGACAAGTACTTTTTCTTTCCTCTTTTTAATCATTTCCTCCCCAGCAAGGCGGGAATGCCACCAGTACGAAGGGAGTTTGCATTTAACCCTAGATCACTAACCATGGGTATATAGTACAGTGTAACCCGGATATAAGAGAGTTGTCGGGACCGGAGAAGAAGTCTCTTATATCCGGGTTCCTCTTATATCCGGGTCTCTTATGTCCTGGTTACACTGTACCCAGTGCAAAGTTTCCCATTTTTAATTACAATTTTCAGTACCTGATTTTCTTACCTAAATAATATGTTTTTCAGTTCCTATTAATGTTAACTCAAAGTACAAAGTTTGAAGTGCCTGCATGTAAAATATTTCAAATAAAGATTTATATTTAATATTTTTTTTTTGATATTTTAGTAGTGATGTAACTTTAATTGATGGTTACTGTTCTAGGGTTAAATGTTTGAAGATTGTAGTTATCAGGGAAGGAAGTAAACGGAAGGGAGTTTCACAGGTGGGAAGTGCGATAAAATAAACTGTTGAAGTAAAATTGGCTGTTGCATGTAGCTATTTCAACAGAAAATGGGTGGGACCTAAATGCCAATCTAGTAGCACGTTTAAATGTATGTAGTCGGGACCCCAGGGAAAAAACTTGTCAGAGCAGCTGCCATGGAAATATTTGTAGAAAAAACAGAGGGAAGTTACGCATTTGTATATAAAGATAGATTAAAGTATAGTGAATCTTTCTTTACAACAAAGCCACTAGTACGAGGGGTTTACAGGGAGTGAAAGTGAGAAGAAAGACTGAACATTAGGGAGGTCAAAAGGATAAAAGATGGACGAGATTCAAGAACATAGAAGATGTCAATTGATGCTGCATTTAAATTTTTGTAGATTGTAATTATCAGGGAAGCAAGCAAATGGAACGAAGATCCACAGCTGGGAAGTGCGAGAAAAGAACTGTTGGAGCAGAAGTGGTGGTTGCGTTAAACTATTTCAACAGTAAATGGGTGGGACCTAAATGCCAATCGAGTAGCATGCTTAAATTTATGTAGTCGGAGCACCGGGATAAAAAGCTCGTCAGTGCAGTTGCCATGGAAATATTTGTAGAAAAGACAGAGGGAAGCTGCGCATTTGTATATGAAGATAGATTCAAGTATATTGAATGTTTTTTACGACAAGTAATTTTTTTTTTTTTTTTTTTTTTAAATCACTTCGTCCCTAGCAAGGCGGGAACGCCAATAATACGCAGGGGGTTACAGGGAGTGAAAGTGAGAGAAAAGATCACGTATAGGGAGGATTAAGGAAAGAACATAAGATGAACGGGATTCAAGAAGATAGACGATGGCGACTGACGTTGCATTTAAATTTATCAGGAAAGCAAGTAAACGGAAAAGAGTTCCACAGATGGGAAGCGTGAGAAAAGAAGCCGCTGGAGTAGAAGTCGTGGTTGCATTTAACTATTTCAACAGTAAACGGGTGGGACCTAAGTGCCAATCGAGTAGCACGCTTAAATTCATATAGTCAGGACATCAGAGGAAAAAAAAAACACATCAGAGCAGTTGCCATGAAAATATTTGTAGAAACGACTGAGGGAAGATATGCCGCGTCGGTGAGAAAGTGACTGAAGTGGAGATGTCAAGTCAGGGTCGATTATATTAAGAGATCCTTCTTTTGGATTTTGTCAAGAATCTCAAGATGTACAGCAGGAGACCAGACCAGATATGGCAGAAGAATTCAATGCACAGACGAATGGCAGATTTGTAAATGTTCAAGATGGCCACTGACGAGAAAAAAAACCCTTCTGGCACGATACGATGCTTTACAGTGTTTTGGCGTCAGCCAACAATATTTCTGTTGTGTTAATAGTCATATTCCTACACGCAAGCCACCAGTCTGCCATCGGGTGGCATGCCACTAGCGTTTACCGCTGGGGGCCCGCCGTCGGATCGCCGGCGTGTTCATCGCAGTATAAACTATCTTTTATCTTTGAATATCCCCTAAATAGAGCTGACAACGTTTCATCATTTGAACTTTCCTCTGACCCAGTTTTCATAGTTCAACGTGTGATAAATTATCTTGTATCTTTCAATATCCCCTAAATGGAGCTGACAACGTTTCATCATTTGAACTTTCCTCTGACCCAGTTTTCATAGTTCAACGTGTGATAAATTATCTTGTATCATTCAATATCCCCTAAATAGAGCTGACAACGTTTCATCATTTGAACTTTCCTCTGACCCAGTTTTCATAGTTCAACGTGTGATAAATTATCTTGTATCTTTCAATATCCCCTAAATGGAGCTGACAACGTTTCATCATTTGAACTTTCTTCTGACCTAGTTTTCATAGTTCAACGTGTGATAAATTATCTTGTATCATTCAATATCCCCTAAATGGAGCTGACAACGTTTCATCATTTGAACTTTCTTCTGACCTAGTTTTCATAGTTCAACGTGTGATAAATTATCTTTTATCTTTGAATATCCCCTAAATAGAGCTGACAACGTTTCATCATTTGAACTTTCTTCTGACCTAGTTTTCATAGTTCAATGTGGGATAAACTATCTTGTATCATTCATTATCCCTAAAATTTGTATTTCTACTAAACAAGCAGCGAAATTATGCAGTTCCATTAATTTCTTTTTCCTGTGTGAATTTTTCAAGGATATTTTTTACTTGCATTATTTACATTATTCCGACTGTTATCCCCATCTTCATTGCCATGTTCCCAACGTTTCGGTCATTTAACGCTCCAGCCTTCTTCAGGTGATTGGAATTTCGAATCGAACCCTTTATTTCGTTCACCGCGGTAGATTGTTCTTGTTCCAAGATTGTTCTGCTGTGGCCAGGCGTTGAACTCACAGCTCTCTGGGTCAAGTGTCTGGATTAATTCAAGTAAGGCTTTTATCCCTTGTGCGAACCGTCGTGAATATGACAACAAAAATGATGACAGCAGTTCGAACAATGTAAATAGAGTAAATAGTTACAATACCTCATATCAGAAATATAGATAGATCCTGAAGAAGGCCGGAGCCCAGAACGGTCGAAACGTCATGAATATGGTAATAAAGATGAAGACAACAGTCCGAACGATGTAAATAATTACAATACCTCATATCAGAAATATAGACTGATCCTGAAGAAGGCCGGAGCCTACAACGGTCGAAACGTCGTAAATATGAAATCAAAGACGAGGACAACAGACCTAAACAATGTAAATAGTGTAAATAGTTACAATACCTCATGTCAGAAATATAGATAGATCCTGAAGAGCATCGAGCGTACAACGGCCGAAACGTCATGAATATGGCAATAAAGATGAAGACAACAGTCCGAACGATGCAAATAATTACAATACCTCATATCAGAAATATAGACTGATCCTGAAGAAGGCCGGAGCCGACAACGGTCGAAACGTCGTAAATATGAAATCAAAGACGAGGACAACAGTCCGAACAATGTAAATAGTGTAAATAGTTACAATAGCTCATCCCAGAAATATAGATAAGTTTGGCACTTATTGGTAAACGAGGTTACATACGATATATGCAGAAAAGCAAATACCTATATATATCAACAAAAACCCACACAAAGCAAGCACCAATATACCAGACAAAAACAAATATTTCTGTAACATCTGGTATTTCTGCAAAACAAGCAGCAGAATATCGTGCAATTCTCTCAAACTGTGAAGTCTTAATAAAAGCGAAACATGTTTGATTGATATCAGTGAGTTATGTACTATGCGTGATACACGCTTAGGTGATCATGTATCTTTCGATACACGACTGACGAGGCAGATTTGTCCCGCAATAGGTTGCCATTTCTTTCTGCGGTAGACCAGTTGCCATCCATAGCTATAGAACCCGGTCTGTCCTACTATTAACCCATAGCTGGGGGAGAATAGGATTCATACCTTTCCCAAGGGTGTTAGTACGTAAGTGAATGTAATGGATTCGATTGGAATTCGAATTAGATTGATATACGTTTCCTATTTGTTCTTTACCTTATTATAT